GGTACGACGGCTAATCAAAATGGTACTTACTTGCGCTTATCCGGATTGTTCAAACCGACTTAAAACTAAAAGATTACGTTCTCTCGCGCGAACTCATTCGGGAGTGGTGACTTTCCACGTATTCCCAACTTCTGAGCCTGCTCGCCTGAAGTTATGGTTGATTGCTCTTCGGCTGGATATCAACACACCCATTAACGCACTAAAGTTGTTGAGGGTCTGCAGCGATCATTTTTCCCCTGATGATTTTACATACCCAGGAGAGCATCACGTACGACTTAAACCATCAGCTGTGCATATGGTTTTTCCACATCCAACTGAGGTATGTGAACAAGATCTTTGTATGTGTCCTTTTTATTTGTAAAGCTGTCCTTACGAAAAGTAACAAATACAATTTTTTTAGTGTTTTACTTCCATTTGTATAACAACTGTTGTACTACAGGCACCATGTTTAAACTATGGTTAACCATGGTTTTACTACAGAGACAGAGATTTGTTGTAAAACCATTCTGAAACTATGTTTACTTTTCATAAGGGTGAAGTAAAATAATAATAATAATAATAATACACAGTGTGTATTCAAGTTAGTATAGCTCCAAATAGTATTGACTTTGTAATGACAAGCAATACTGTATATTCTTAGGAAAGCCAACAGGAACCAGATCAGCCTGCAGAACACGAGTCAGACGAAGGTCAAGAAACAGAGTGCCTTGGTGCAGACATCGGACTAAAAGATGTTCCACAATCAACACCTCAGAAGCCAATGAAAACTGGTGTTGAAAAAACCACTGGACAAGAGGACAAATTACACAAGCATATGATGTTACTACTAACAAGTCCACAGTCGTCGGAAAAGCATTCATATCCCTCCACATCCGGGACATATTTTGCTCTTCCAGCTGTAAGGTGCCAGCAGTTTGTAAGTATGAGAGTGTTTCTGAATTTTACATGCTAGCTGGAAAATGGCTAAATGTGCTGTTGGTATGAACAACTCTAAACTGAATACAGCTATTTGTACTGTACATTTTTTGTAACTATTTTTACATGTCTTTACACAAATATTTAAAACACCTTCCTTCTCTTGTAGGATGAACCAACTGCCAGTGAAAGCGAGCCTGATGACCTAAATATCAGCATGCTTTCATTAGATCCACCATCTGAAAAGAAGGATGTTAGTTTTGTTCCACCTAGTTCCACATCTGCCTCCAGTACAACCACTACGACAGAAGAAGAGGAGGAACAGCCATGGCAAGAACGGAAATGGATTGTTAATGAATCAGCACTGATGAAACAATTTAGAAGACGTCAAGACTGTGGTGCACTAATCACAGAAAAAAAAAACACAACTTCAGGGAGCCTAATCAGTGTTCTTTGGGAATGTGAACAAGGACATAAGGGGCAGTGGAATTCATGTTCTGATGTGCGTGGAATTCTATCAAACAACCTTCTAGTGTCAGCAGGTACTGTGTTTACGGGGTCCACATATGCAGACATCTCTGAATGGGCTGCTGTGCTTAATCTTCAAGTACCACACAAAACAACTTTTTTTGCAATACAGTCTTCTTACCTCATACCGGCAATTGATGAGGCATTCAAAGAACAACAGACTGCCTTACTGGAACATTTGAAGGCAGGAAGCACAGAAAAAAAGGAAATACATTTATCTGGAGATGGAAGATCAGACAGGTCATTTTATATGTAAATGGTGAATTTTTATGTGATTATTATGTTCTCTTTAAAGTAACAATAAACATTGAAATCGGGGTTTCTGTTATATCTCAACACAGTCCTGGATATTCGGCAAAGTACACCACATTCAGCTTGATGGATGACAATACAGACAAAGTGGTGCACTTTGAGCTGGTGCAAGTAAGTGTTCATGACAATAGTGATATATGTTTGGGGTAATGTAATTTTAATGTAATATTTTTTATTATATGTTTTATTTATAATAATGAACTAAAAATTACCTGTGTGTAGACGGAGAACAGGTTATGGGGTCATATTCACAAAACAGTGTTCAGTTTTTCTCCGAGATTTACAAACCTTGTAATACTGTGTCTCATTTGCAATTGCCATTTCTTTTTATTATAGGTTACAGAATCATCAAGCTCTGTAGCAATGGAGTCGACTGGTTTCAGGAGAGCACTCGGCAAAATCCTAGATGACGATATTGGAGTAAGTGTGGTGACAACTGATAGATCCCCATCCATTCGCAAGATAATGCGAGTCGACTACACAAACATTCATCACGAGTTTGATGTATGGCATGTGGCTATGCTTTTTGCTTTTTTTAATCAATGCCTAGTGCAGTAACTTATGTATTCTTTTCAACTTCTGTTTTGTAAACGCAGCACGCAGCAGTAAACTATTCACCAAAAAAAAAAAAATTGTCATTCTTCTAATTGAACTGCCTCTTCACAGGGTAAACACTAAATGACAAAGGTACAGAAGGGTTGTAAATAAAGCAGCTCTGTATGCTTTAGCATCTCTCTAGTAGTAATATGATGTCACACCCCCTTGTGTGCACAGTCTGTTTTCAAGTCAGACACAGCTGATGACTGTGATGTTGAACAATACTTTTGGATGCAGATGAACATTTTCTTTTTCTTGTAGGAATGATCAAGAAATTGGCTTCGGTATCCAGATACAAAGACAACAGACCACTTCAGCCATGGATTAAGAGCATTAGCAAACATCTGTGGTTTTCATGTTCATCTTGTGGAGGTGACTCGGATGTAAGAAACTCTGTTTCTGTAACTGGTTTTTATCAAATAAACTGGAGAAGACAGCTAAATATTTACTTCAAATTTATCAGGAGCTGATCAAAAGGTGGAAGTCACTTCTGCACCACATTTGTGGGGTTCATTCCTGGACAGAAGATGGAGAAGAAAGAAGATGTCTGCATAGCGAGCTTACCTCTGATGAGCAGAGAAAAAAGAAATGGCTTGATAAAAAGTCCAGGGCATTCATTACATTAGAGAACCTTGTCTTAGACAAGGGTCTTCTGAAGGACCTCAGGCAGATGACACTTTTCAAGCATACTGGTCAGTTTACATATGTATAATGTATGTTCATGTACAACGCAAGAACATTTCTGAACACTGTATTATTTTATTTTTTATCAGGTAAGCTTGAAGTGTTCCATTCACTGCTCCTGAAGTACTGCCCCAAAAGAATACACTTCCATTACATATTTCAGTACAAATATAAATTCTTTTTTTTTTTTTTTTGGTAGGTACGCCACGGTTCAATGTAGTGTTCCCCAATCACTCTAAACAGTGGGTGGCCAGAAAACTGTATGAGTCCCCAACTCAAAATTTCAGAGACAAATCTGCTATAAATATTGTCGCGACATTAACAAATGAGAAATAAACTGTAGGCTATGTCAGGGCAACACACTAAACAAGGGAGGCTCACTTTTTCCCAATTCTTTGTAGAACACTCAAAAACAATTTCACCAAAATAAATATGCCATTTTTATATGTTTCTCTGTATCTTTACTGTCAAACCACTCTGCAAATATTTGCCATGCAGTAACAATAGTTGCTCTCTTCTTTGCTCTTTTCTCATCTCTGCGTACTGCATGACTTGGCTGTCAAGGAGACTGGTTATTAAAAGATATTCCTCTGCTTCCCATTTCCTAGCAAATCAAAGGATTATGAATCTTATTTCCTTCCCATAAAGATTAAATGAAAAATCAGTGCTCTAATGGATGGGCCTCTTTTAATCTAGCTCATTAATACTTTAGTATGCAGGATATTATTGTTCTATTACAATGACCGTAATCATTTTTGTTTCATAATCTCTGTCAGTCCTGAAATTGTTCACTTCGTTTAATGCTGGTTCTTGCCGCGAGGATCATTAATTAATTACAGACTGATCTCAATGTCTGTTTGGGAGAACGGCATGTTTGATGGCACTTTGTGTCAAATAAGTCATGTTGGACTAATACAAGGATGTAAGAGTGCTTATTTTCCAAACACTATTAAAATATTTTTCCAGATGTTGTAACATTTTTTAAATGAAACATACTTCAGTTTAGTATTCACTATATTAATATTGAAGACATACGAATAATTTCCTATTTAATTAGCAATACAAGTCGTAGAAAATTGAATAGAAATAAAAAGTAAATACAGATAATAAGAGAATGTAGATGTATTAAATAAAAATAGAAATAGAAAAAAGAACAGCTCTGATTCATTTGGACTATCTTAAATGGTCTTTAGATGGGTAATGAGCTGACACTTAACAAGTTCTTTTAAAATGAAAAACATATGCCTATTGTCATATTGTCATGTCACACATTCACTGCGCCAGACCTGAAAGTGAAATTCAATTCTTTTTAATGCTGTTCTCAATATACTGCAAAGTCAAAGCATTAAATGTTCTGATTAATATTAGTTTGGAAATGGAAGGCTCTGCATTGGAAAACATTGCTATCAAAAACTCTTCCCATGCCTTTACATATTATTCACTGTGGTAAATTTGAGAATTTCTTCAGTTCTTTATTTTAAGGACCAATTCTCACTATTAACTAGTTGCTTATTAGCATGCATATTACTAGTATATTGGCTGTTTATTAGTACTTATAAAGCACACATTAATGCCTTATTCTGCAGGACCAGATTTTAGATCCCTTAAACCTATACTTAACTTAACAACAGGAGACAGGAAATGTATTATTATTACTATTATTATTATTATTATTATTATTATTATTATTATTAAGTTATATTCCCCTGGCAGAGCTTTCCTTTCAGAGTTGATGCTGATTTCATGATGAGTCAGAGGATGTACATTGGGATTGTTTTTCTGGATATTACCCACAAGTGATTGATTTTGGCACTGAGTTCCAGGCATATTTACTGCATGGGGAGTGTTAAACCATGAACCATATCAACTTAGAATTTCTGGCCTCTTTAATGATGGTTTTTAATCGTCTTTTATGCTCTGTGCGCTTCTTGAAATCCAACATTTTTGCATCATTAATCCTATGATAATATGGTTTACTCTGTTGTAAAATAGCTGGGCATTGGGTTCTGGAAAGACCATGATGGAAAATGACCGAATGAAGATGATCAGTAAATGATGATGAAGATGACTGAGGCCCAGGAGCAATTTGACCCGCTATTGCCCTGGAAGAGAAAAAAATCACAATCATGACATTTGTGCAATAGCAAGTCTGTTAGGAATGATAAATTACTGCATAAATTGCATAATTGACTGTAAGTAATCCCAAGGACTGTCACAAAATGTGTTAAAGGAACAGTTCACCCAAACCATTTTTGGATTTGTTTCTTATAAAACAGGCAGCTTTTCACTTCACAAGGCGTTAATTGATGGAAATGAGTCATGTGGATTTCTTGTGGATTATTGTGATGTTTTTATCAGCTGTTTGGACTCTCATTCTGACGGCACCCATTCACTGCAAAGGTTAAGCAAGTGAATTAATGCTAAATTCTCCAAATCTGTTCTGATGAAGAAACAAACTCATCTACATCTTGGATGGCCTTATGGTGAGTACATTTTCATCAAATTTTCATTTTTTGGGGGTGAATAGTTCCTTTAAATATGGAAGGAACTGTTTACTGACCAAGGATGAATTTTAGGTAATCATCACCAATTAATTTAGACATTCAGTTTTTGTACCTTTTCAGAACACGAATGATTCATTTTCCACAGCTTGTAGTTTCATAGAGATTTTGGCCATTTTAGCAATGAGTAAAATACTGTAATACTGCATATTAAAAGTAATTTGAAGCTTAACCATGAGACATTAAACATTCCACGATAATGACAAATTGATTGTTGTCAAATCACCCTCTTGCCTCATAACCACTCATTCACGATCATGTAAAGTCAAATGGTTGTTCTCTCCTTTAAAATTATTTCAGAAATCCTTAGAATATTTTAATGCTAATATTATAAGATCACAAGCATAATATGATAAGCTGACAAGCTTATTCTAAGCTGTGACGTTTAAACGGTTTGTCCCATTAGTTATCGGACAGAGCATTAAATTGCACCCGTGCTCTAGCAGGTACAAAGTTAAATTCTCTTTTAACTTGGAAAGGAGATTATTTTGACTGCCAGTGAGGGTGTCATATACAGAGGGGCTGGGGTTTATCTGGGTGCGTGCGAAGCACAGGTGTTTGGGTAAAGGACCAGGAAACAGACAGAGGCGATTATCTGACAGTGTCAGTCTGCTCCGAGAGTAACTACAGCTGTGCTAGGCAAAACATCGCCATGGCAACACTGTTAACGCAGTACCAGAGGAAGTGCATTGTCTGACAGGATTCAAACACGTCAAAAAAAGTTTTTGAAATATGCCTTCTTATGCTCACAATGGCAGCATTTATTTCATCAAAAATATTCCACCAGTAATATTTTAAAATATTATTACAATACCTGCTTTCTATTGTAATATATTTTTCAAATGTAATTTATTCCTGTGATGGCAAAGCTGCATTTTCAGCATCATTACTCCAGTCTTCTGTCACATGGTCCTTCAGAAATCATTCTAATATGCTGATTTGCTGCTCAAGAAATATTTATTTTATTTTCAATTTTGAAAAACGTTGTGCTGCTTAATATTTTTGTGGAAACAGTGATTAATTTTTCAGGATTCGTTGATGAATAGAAAGTACATAGCATAGAAAGTGTAACCTTATAAATGTTTTGACTGACTTTTGATAATTTCCTAATAAATAAATAAATAAATACATAAATAAATACTTTTGAACTGTAGCGTGTGTGTGTATACATATATGTGTGTGTGTGTTTTTTGTGTTCTATTTATCAATTTTTCACCTTTAAGAACTAATTTGAACACATTCCTGTAGTAAATCATGGCGCTAGCTGCTAGCAATGCCAAGGTCATGGGTTCAGTCCCCAGGAGTGTGAACAGATGAAATGTATAATTTAAAGGCAATGTAAGTCACTTTGGATAAAAGCATCTGCTAAATGCATACATGTAAGTACAAGAACATATTCTCAGATGTATGATACCCAAGAGGCATCTCTCTTAACATGCATAGCGAGTGGCCGGTCAGCAACAATGGAGCTCATCGCATTAACCTCCAAGTCTTGCCATTGATCTGTTTTGCTAAACTCCAGGGATCCACATTGCTGCCAATGGATCAATGTCTTATCGAAATAAATAATGCTTAAAGCCAACATGAAATGTGCCTTTGCATTTTCAAATATGCATTTTTTATCCCAAGCCCTACCATATTGCCATTACC